GTGACTTCGCCCACCGCAGAGAGCAGGAGGGAAGGGCTTTTTTTTTTTTTTTTTTTTTTTTTTTTTTTTTTTTTTGTTCTGCACTCGGCCGAACATGTTCGGAGCATGTTCGGACGCTCGCAGGGCCACCGAACATGTTCAGCGTGCTACACAGGTCAGCGGCCTGGCTGGCCGCGGGGAAGGGCTTTTTTTTTTTTTTTTTGAAGGGCATTTTGCTACCACCATGAGAGGTGGTAGTAATTTTCTTTCTTTTTATAGCTCAAGATTTTGTGAAAGGAAATTTGAAATGATTTTTTTTTGAAGTGGAGCATGGTGGGGTAGGAAAGAAAGGGTCGGACGGCTGGGTGGGGGGACGGAGCGGCGTTACCGGGCGGCGTAGCGCTGCGCTCCGGTAATTCTGTCGCCGCGGGCGGTTAGCGCAAGCGGCGCTACCTGGCCGACACCTCCGCCATCACGACGGAGATCGGGAGACGCGTACACACCATCGCATTGCCGGTGGGGCTTGCCCATCCTTGTACTTGCGTCGTCCAAGGTAGTCCATAGCTAGGTTAGGTTATAGTTGGAATGGAAAGTGACACGGGAAACTGTGGTAAGAGAAGTGCTCCCCCTCAGGCGGAAGGGAGTAAGGTCGTTACCGGAGGTAAAAGGAGGTAAAATTTTAGGTCTGGCTCGTAAGTCTAGGATGGAAGTTGAAATTTTTCCTACCCTACCCTAGGCTAATGGACTATCTAGGCGGGAATTGGAGCTGATGATGGCGACATGAGAGTTGAGCGGGTGGAGTATATCTCGCATATTACTCTCGAGGCTAGGTTTCCCGTCAAGAATTTCTAAGACCGGAGAGGGAAACTATCGGGTAAGGAGAAAGTGAAGTCGAAAAGTGCAAATTTACCTAGTTGCTCCTTGGATGCGTTTGTACTACGGGAGGGAATTTCAACCAGCCGTTGGTGATATCTGCCGTTACACTAAGTCCGTGGTAGCCACAATCGCGCTAGTGCTACGATGATGGCGGAACACAACTCAGCGAGGAGGGACGGTCCTCCCCCCCCATCGGCGACAGGTGGCGCTAGTACTAGTGTAAGGGAGTCAGTGGAAAAATGTTACACACTGGGGGTATGTCCGAAGAATGCTTTGCTGGGCGAAGTTGTAGAGGATAGAGAAGGGAAGCGCTTTGTGGTCAACGAACAGGTCAACGCCGTTAAAGAAGCCTGGTTGAAGGAGCATACAGTCATCGTCACCTTCCAAGGCGAGGCGAGGCAGCTTTCTCGACAGGTGAAGGAAGATTTAGTCCGGGCTTACGAAGATGGGTGGGGTGTGAGCAAATTGTTCGGCCCTGTTGTGGAGAGAGGAAGGGTGAAATTTGAGGGTGCAAACGTGGTCTCGTACGTTGCCCATTCAAAGGACATTGCGTCTTGGTTACTCCGCCAACAGGAATTAAAAATCAAGCTCAAGGAAGGAGAAGAGTATGTTATGACCTTCAAACCGTGGCGCCCTCTTCAAGAGCTCAAGGAAATTCGACTTCAGGAAGCTGAGACTAAATTCTGGATCATGGCTCTGGGTGTCCCCTTGGATGCTTACTTTTATCTACATAGTGCGGTACAAGGCGTCTTTGGAGAGGTTCTGCTGATGCACGCGCCGGAACACGACAGCTCAAGACCTAAATTGATGAACATTAAATTCGACATGGCGCTAGAGACAAGAGACAAGGTGGACGATGTTTTAACAATCCAATCTCCTACGGGGGAGAGATGGAAGGTCGAAATTGCATCTCCTTACACCGATTGGTGTAGGAGATGCAGATGGTACTTTCATTCGGAGGAAAACTGCCCGAGAGCCCGTCAAGGAGAGGGAGGGGCAGCCCCAGGCCGCAGAGCGGGTGGTCACAAAATCCGTTTCTCTCAACACCAGCTGAGACAGGAAAGGCAAGTTCCAGCCCCTCAGGCTACGGCGGCAAGACCAGCGGTTAATCAGCAGGGACCGGCCCCGTCCGGCACTCAGGCCCACGACCCGAGGTGGGCAGATCAGATGGCAAGCGACGAGGTGCAGCAACCGGACCGAGAACTCAGAGGGAGAGGAGAGTTAGTACGGAGTGGAGGGATAGGACTTGGGGAAAGAGATTTGAATCAGGTGAGTTCGGCGTTGGGCGGAGGGTTGGATGAGGCCGTCCTGAGGGAAACGCGAGGGCTTACAGGTTACTGTCACCCCAGTTATGGCGGCGCAGCGAATGCAATGGGTTTTGATGATGGGTACCTGCAAGGGCGGGGCGTTGAGTGGATACCTCCGGATCACTTGGGTGACCACTATGCTGGTCCTACCTGGCAGGACAGGATGGAGTGGCAGGCTGGCACATTGACAGGCGAGAGAGAGCACCCCCCATTTGGGAACATCCAGTGGCAGGATGCCTGCTGGGGACTCGACTCGCAAGATGTCCGCAGAAGCAGAATGGAGCAGCAGAATCAAGATCTGTACGGGATTCCCCCACCAGCCCCGCTGTATCCCACTCCGAGGTACCAGTATAACTGGAGGGATCTAGTTCCACAAAGTAGGGACGCACAGTCAAGGGGAGCTGGCTCCTCGTGGCGGGTGGATAGACCAGGCCCTTCTCGGTTGGGCAGGCGGAGTACGAGTAGTGATTGGAGGGACCCGGCGAGAGCCGGTGGAGGTGAGAGTAGGGAAGGTTATTGGAGGGCTCGGGGCAGGCAGGAAACTCATGGTTTGGGGGGAGGCGCCGGACAAGAGCGATGTGCTTCTCATAGGGACACGCGACAAGATAGTCAAGGCAGGCTGCAGGAGAACAGGGGGAACTTGAACCTGATCCAAGAGGAAGCAGGCGGGAAAGAGAAGACGGCGAAGGACCTGTCAAGATCTTCGACCTCTTCTCTCTCCAGGGTGAAATGGGGGAGCGAATGGTACAATAATGAGAGAATCTCTGAACATTCAGAGGGAGAACGATCCTCTATGCTGAGCTCGGCAGCCTCCAAAAAGACGGACAGAGAAGAGATTAGAGAGGCCAACCCTGTGTCTCAAGCACAAGACCGAAGGGCTGACACGCTGCACAAAAGTCAAGCAGAGAAAGTTCAAAGAAGGCTGGTGCCTCTCCTATGCACTATGGCGAACGATGGCGCCTACTTTCTGGCGCTGGCGCAACCAGATGGTTCGCCGTTGCTACCTTCTGTTGATGTGGAGCAGGCTCCGACCCCATCCGTCATCATCAACTCAACCAAGGTGATTTACGGGCAACATGTCCCGATTTGTCTGATCCCTCGCTCTACGATGGTGAGCTTGATCGTCGAATCGGGAGATCGGTTTTATAAGCTCTATTTCCCTCTGCTGGATGCGAGGGTCTCTTCTGAATTAGCAGATTCCCTCACCCAGGCAGGGGTCAGGTGGGTTCAGCTAGCAAACCTGTCTATCGAAGAGTTAGCGTTAATCTCAATGCTCCCGGGTATTTCCGCAAGTATTCTGATATCAGTAAACGAGAAACTGCAGGCAGACGAGAGTCTTCTCTCCCCCTTCCTCGCCAAGGCACTGACAGAAGACTGGCTGATCCTATCAGAATCGAACTCCTCTCGAGGTAGCACGCGTGACAAGTCAAGGACGTCACGAAAGTCCCGGGACTCCAGAGCCTTTGGGCTGGATGAACCCTCGCTGCACCAGTCAGGACAATCTCAGCAACCAATCCGCATCCAAGACCAAGCGGAGGCAGCGCTTGGAAATGGACAAGCTTGAGTTGGTATCATGGAATGTAAGGGGACTTGGTGACTCGAATGGTCGTTGCGAAAAGTGCAGCTTGAAGACGTGGATACACGAGTGGAACAGAAATTGCATCATGCTTCAGGAAAACAAGCTATGTGAGAAAAAAATCAGTGATCTTGGGGACTGGTGGCAAGGACCCCAGATTTGGTCCCCTGCCCAAGAGACTCGTGGAGGTGTTTGCATACTGTTGAACAAGGACCTACAGGTATGAATTATTGACAAGGAGGCGGATATTTGGGGGCGCTGGGCGTGGATGCGGATTGAGGTTGAGAAGGAGGAATGGTTGCTCATGTCGATATACGCTCCGCACAAACAGAAGGAGAGGGCGGGGTTCTTCATAAATCTGGTTTCTCATATTCCTAAGGTGGAAAAGGTTGTTATTGCGGGGGCTTGGAATAGATCCCTAGACGACGCCCTGCGCCCGAACTCAGAGTCTGCTAGGAAATTGGATGTGGGACAGCTGCTGGCCCTCATGGAATCCTTGTCCCTCATAGATCCGTTCAGGCTCCTCAATCCGGAAGACGCGGGGTACACCTGGTTTTCTCATCTATATCACGACAGGCAACGCGTCACCAGACGTAGGTTGGACTACCTGTTAGTCTCCGAGCAGCTGATGCCCAGGACAACAGCCGTACGGCAGTCGTGCAACCCGCTGCCGGATCATTAGCCAGTTTCAGCAGAACTCAGATGGCAAGTGGGGGGTGAGAGAGGGAAAGGGTTTTTCAGACTCAATAAGCAAGTTCTGGAAAATCCAAGGATCTGCACATGGATTAAAGATCATATGGCCAGATGGGAAGACTCAAGGGACTCGTTCCAGGAACCTGCGGATTGGTTGGACAGTGGGTTGGCAATTGCTTCAGGGGTTTTGGATGTGTGCTCTCGCATTCTGGCGAAATCGAGGAATGTAAAAGAAGCATTATGCAAGAGGAGGGTGGAAGAGGCAGAAGAGAGGATGGAGGGACACCCCATCTCAGCAATGGTGTGGGCGGCGGAAAGAGAAAGGCGTCTGGACGAATGGGATAAGTTACAGCTGGAGAAACAGAAAAGGTGGTCAGACTTGCTAAAAGAAAAAGGAATCGAGACATACGATCAGATGACTCGGGAGACCTTCCAGAAGTTGCAGCCGCACCGGGCCTGCCAGCAGACGGTTGAACTGCGCCACCCCTTCGATGAGTCGGCTCCAAACGCTTCCACAGCATCGTGCATGCTGCACTACACCAAGCTGTATTACGAGGACATTTTGACCTCGAGAAGACCACAGGATGATCCGACTGCCGACCTCTCCGGGGAATCAGACATGTGGGAGGACACATCTGTAAAGCTGACCGAATCTGCGAAACTAGATCTGGACCGGCCGGTAACTTTGGAGGAACTCACGCAGACAGTGAAGTCTATGGCTAAGGGGAAGTCCCTAGGTATTGATGGCCTGACGATCGAGTTCTACAATGCTGTTTGGGCGTCAACGGGCCCAAAGCTAGTGGAACTGTATAATCGGATCTTAACGGGTGAGATTGGGTAAGAGTATGACGCACGGGGTTATCAGCATGCTATTCAAGAAGGGCGACAAAACTGAAGTGAGAAATTGGCGCCCTATTTCGCTGCTGAATGTCTCTTACAAGATCTTGGCGAAGACCTTGGCACGGAGATTGGGCAACTACCTACCAGACCTAGTAGAAGGGGATCAGGGAGCTTTTGTACGCGGCAGATCGATCTTTAACAATATTGTGACTGCGCTTGAGGTCCTCGAGGTGGTTCAGTCGGAAGATATGAATACTGCGGTGCTGCTGCTCGATTTGGAGAAGACCTACGATAAGGTAGGCTGGCCGTTTGTTTTCACAACCCTGAAGAAAATGGGGTTTGGCTCATCCTTCTGCAAATGGGCGGTAGCGATGTACACGTATTCGACTTCCTCTGTAATGATTAATGGTCACATATCCTCCTCCTTCAAGCTTTCTCGTTCGCTGAGGCAGGGCTGTCCCCTGGCCCCGCTCCTTTTCGTTTTGCAGATGGAGGTCGTTTTGAACAGAATCCGTCGGAACCCCATGATTCAAGGTCTGCGCCTGCACAGCGGCACCCAATGCAAAGTTAAGGCTCTTGCAGATGATCTCTTCGTCATCAGCAAGAACTCGAGGGAATCCTTGGGCGCTCTTAAGGGCGTACTCGCAGAGTACTCAACCCTCGCGGAAGCGACCGTCAACTGGAGCAAGTCGGTGTATCTGCTGCCAATGCAGTTCGAACTTGCTGTGCATTGGGGAATGAAGAGAGTCAAAGAGGGAGAGGAAGAGAGGTTCTTGGGAGTGTTGGTTAGTTTACAGGTGGGGGTATCTGCACAGGGACTGCTGCTGCAGCAACGAGTGACAGCGAGACTCCGAATGTGGGGACTGGTCTGGCATCTGTCGGTAATTGGCCAGGCACTGGTAGCGAATGTGGCCCTGTTCTCCATCATGTGGTTCGTCACGTCCGTCAGGAAGATTTCCGAGAGCGTCTGGAGAGTCATAAAAGGTCTGGTGGCACGTTTCATTTGGAAGCCAAGAGCCAAAGAGGGAGAAGGCTGTCTGGTCAAAGTGGCCTGGGATCTGCTTACCTTTCCTCGCGATGAAGGGGGTCTGAACCTGGTAGACCCAGCGAAGAGGAACCAAGCCCAACTCAGTATGTGGTTGCATAAGGTGGCCAATGCCCAGACGAAGGAGCACTGGATAGAGCTGGCGGAACAAATTCTAATGAAAGAGTGGAAGCTGAGCCGCCCACAGGATGCCTGGTGCTGTTTCTTTATCCCGTCTTTCTGCCGAAAAAAGGTAAAATCACGCTTTTGGAAAGAAGTGATACGGGCTTGGAACAGTCTGCCACCGGAGGGCCGCTCCGAACCAGCGACTAAGGAGGAAATTCAAGCTCAGCTGCTGTTTGAAAATCCCCGAATTGTCAAGGCGGACGGCGATTGGTTTAAGGCGGACGACTCTACGGGCTCCTTCGGTGCAGCCTGGGTCCGTAAAGGCTTGGTCACCATTGGGGACCTGTGGAATTCACTGCTGGGAACCTGGAGAACAGTCCCTGAACTATTGGAGTCCTTGCACCCCCTGAGAAATGTGGAAGCACACAGGAATCAACTGTTAGAAGCAATCCCCGAAGAGTGGCGTCATTTGCTGGGACCAGAGGGAGTCGACCCAGTTGGTACTTGGTATGTCTCAGCGAACGAAGGGACAGTGGAGGTCTGGAAAGTGCTGGAGATCCTATCAAGTGGATTTCGCAGAGTTCAGTGTTGGTCCGATCATCATCACTCAAGTGAACTTCGTCTGTTGGAGGAGAAGGTTGTCAGATCCTGGGACAACCCGCCCCAGGCAAGAGTGGTGGAAACGGGAGGTTCTTCGGAGCATAGGAAGAAATGGGTGTGGGTGGGGCAGACTCCTCTTCGGAAGCTGTGTGTTGATCCCGAGGCGTGGTACTGGCATTCGGGAGAAGCCCCTCGGCCGCATCTCCGACTGTCTGAGTACTCAGTTGCGATGGGCTACAAGTTGAGACTAAGAAGGAGCAACAAGCCCTCTCCTACAGACGTGGCTATAAGAAGGTGGCAGGCCATAACTACCGAAGACCTGTCAGGGGCAGGGCAGTCATTCCGGAATCTCTGGGACACACTGTCTAAACTTCCCAACGGTAAGCAAGTGTCTATTTTATGGATGATGTCCATCCTGGTGACGCCCTCGGCGGTTTGGCTCACCAGTAGAGGGTTGCAAGTTGAACTCAAGTGTCCGCGATGCTCTTGGCCTTTCGAATCTACCCGACACCTGTGGTGGGAATGCCCTGCTTCCCGCAGGATTTGGAAATGGTGGGAGTGGCACTGGGCTCGGTTTGGTGACCCGAGAGTTTGTTGGGATGAGAAGTGGGTTCTGTTTGGTTTCCTAGAAACGGGGATGGGGATATGTTGCCCAGGTGGTGAGGGGCCTGCTCTGCGAGACCATTTGGAGAGACAGGAATAGAGCGAGATTTGAAGGCAGACCCTTTTCGGATCTGGAAACCAAAAGTATGATCAGACAAGGCCTGAGGGAGGCAATCGAGGTCGACTGGAGGAAGAGGGCAAAGGCGGGGAAGGGGAGCAATCGACAATTACGCTGGTTTCTGAATACCTGGACGCTTAAGCACCATTTGGCAGGTGTTCACAGGACAAAAGGTTTGGTCCTTTCCCCTTGGGTGAAGGATTAGTCTGCAAGTGTTCCCTCGCAAGGCCGACTTTCGGCCTGGGAGCAGTGTCTCAGAAGAGATGGGGCGCCAGTAGTTTTGTGGGCCGGCAGCAGAAGGGGCGAAGGGAACCAGGGCGCTCAGTCCCCCGCACAGGATATGATAAGGCCGCAGGAGGCAACTGGGGGCGGAGGTGGTAGTGTCGACGGGACCGTGGGTTCTGAGCAACAGAGATAAGTTGATGGCGGGTCGACTGTAGACCCGCGGTTGATGTCTTTGTAGTCTAGTCAAAGGTGTATGTTTTTATTAAGTCGATGTGAATCTAAAACCCAAGCGAGGGGGATGTGATGGTTAGCAGAAGTCTTGGTGAAATTTCCGTTATCAGAAACAATGCAAGGGAGAAGTTTTCCTGTGTGATGACGAGCAATGTCAGAATGTGAGGATCAGCAAGCTGGTAAGCGTAGCTGGGGGTTTCGGACTGGAGTTTGATTCTGCTTCCGGTCCAAGATACTGGGACCAGGACAATCGGTCCCTTTTAGGGCCGCTGTGGGCCGCTAGGAGAGTGTCAGTAGGGCCAGGACTCCAGTCCTCTGGGCCGTGTTAGTCCCAGATTAAACTAGTGTAGGTCCACCAATGAGTTGTTTAAAATGGGGTCGGGGGAATACACTGTGGAACTACAGTTTGCGGTCCTAGGTTGAGTCTCAGTGGTAGTAGATAATTTGTTACCAAACTGCAACTCGCAATGGTTGCTCGATTGGTTGTTCCATTTTTGATCTCAGTGTTAATGGCTGAACTAGTCCAGATGAAAGGAGAAACCTTTAGAAAGTTGGATATAGGATTCTGGAAAGTTGGTAGTGTGAACTTTCCGCAGGCGATTGCCTGTAAGCTAAGCTGGCTGATGCTGTCGGTATTCCGGGTTGATTTGTGAGGTCCCCGGCCTCGTTCCCTCGCTTATAATGAATTGTTTTGCTTTACAAAAAAAAAAAAAAAAAAAAAAAAAAAAAAAAAAAAAAGGAATTTTGTTGGACCTTTGGCGAGGCGGGGAAAGTTGAAGGATTTGGGCCTCGCGCTGTGTGGCCCCGCCCGACACCGTTTTGGCAATTGCCAGAAAGTCCCGCTCGTGTCTTTTGTGATTTGCTACCACTATGTGTCCGGGGGGGGTGGCATTTCAGCAGAATCGGGATAGCTAAATTCACGAATTGTGCTGCCATGCCACTGCTGTGTGAGAATGCCCTCATTACAGTACATCAGTATTATACTTGGGTCTACAGTCAAAGTGGTGGTCCCCCCCCCCCCCCCCTTCCAGTTCAATTTTGCAAAGCCTGCCATTAAAATTAAAAAATAGAAAACTGAGCAATTACTCGCGGCACTGACATCAAAAAAAAATATTTATTTTTTTCCTTAGGCCAGGATTTTCTGGATGTATCTGACTGCAATTCGTCCTGCTTTGGACATATCTGACCAGAATTATGTCCAGAAATATTTCCTTGTTTTTTTTTTAATTAAAAACCCTTTCGTAAGCCCTCAACAAGGCCTAATGCACGAGTATGCCATAACAGACCTTTTTTTTTTTTTTTTTT